TTTTTTTTTTTTTTTTTTTTTTTTTTTACAAGTCAATCTCGTTTTGTAGCGATTGCCCGCTGTTTAACATTGTGAAACTTCTTTTTGTCAGTTATGAAAAAGACAGCCGTATATCTTTATATATTCTTATAAATGATTTATACTCTATCGAGTATAAAGTTGTTATAAAATACGGACGATCTTTTGAATTTGATGTGCAGAAATAATCTTTACGCATTATTTGATTTATTTTTTCATTATCTACCATTTGATCCATGAGCTTTTTGTACAATTCTTTCTATTCTAGTCATTACACTATTTATTCGTTAGACTTACAATTTTTCGTTGTTGCTGTGCGTTTATCCTGTTTTTATTTTGAATTCTTCTAAAGCTTCGTTCGACGAAATTTGTGCTACGAAAGATAAAAACATTACATTAATATAATAAATAATTCATATATAATTGAAATTAATATATAATTTATATATAATTGAATATATATAATTAATATAATAATATATAATTGAAAAAATTTATAATATAATTTAAATCCTAAAATTATATACTTAATGTTATCTATTTTATTTATACGATTATATATTATAATTTCAAAGTTGTAAAAGTTGTTAATATTGTAATTTTTGAAGAAATATAATTCGAAGAATGATTTCAGTGATAAGTTCAAAATCAAATTATGATAAAATGTTAAAAATGATGATTGCAAATATCAATCTTGATTTATCTGATAACATCTTATATAACAAATTTTATCATTTAAAGAACTAGAATATTATTCAATATTTAGAATGTTAAAGTTTTTATAATAATAATAATAACAATAACAATGATAATAATAATAATTATAATAGTAAAATGACAATATATAACTTGTGTATTATTAAGCATTATTATAGCTTGTTTATAAGTTAAAATATTTTATTATTATGCGCAATATAAAATGTTAAATTTTCAATTCATTTTAATTTATTTTAATTTAAAAATTAATTGTTTGTTTTCAATTATAATTGAGAATTAATAGTAATAATAATAATTATAATTAAATTTTGATAATAATATAATATTGATTATTTTAGTGACCATAATATAAATCTGTATATCTCTAATAATAAACAATAATAACTGATTTTTTTTCGTTTAATTAACAAAAAAAAATTATCTGATTTTTGAAAAATCGAAAATATAACAATTCATAAAAAATCAAATTAAAGAATAATAATAATTGGAATTTATGTGAAAGCATCGAAAAATAAATAGGTTAATTTCGCTTTTATATAAACTTTTAATAATTATAATAATTAAATCAAATTTATTTTTTTCTCATATTTTTAACATTATACATAAATGTATTAATGCAGAATTATTTGCATTTATGTAATATTATTAATTTATTAAACTATTTTTATACAGAACATTACTTAATATTAAAAACAAATTAGAAAATTCAAAAAATTGTATATATATAAAAGTTATTTGTTATTATTAGTATAATTAATATAATTAGTATAATTATTTAAAATATATTTATAATGTATTATTACTTAATAATTTATTATTAATGTTATTATAAGCAAAAATTGTATAGTTGAATTTTATTGCATCTATTTCTTATATATTTATTTAGATTTACATCTATTAATTATAGCAACTATAATGGAATTGGAATAATAATAAAACAATATAACAACATATATAATTATATGTTTCATTATACATTTTTGTAAATAAAAAATTTGTTACTATCTCATTTTTAATTAATTTTTTTCTAGCAAATTATGAATACAAAAAAATTGTCTTAACCGGCATACATGGTGACGCACACGAACAAATTTGCACTCTATGCATATACTACACGCGCACAACACGTGCATATTTGTAATCAAGACACGAATTATATATGTACAGATATCAAAACTTAATGTCATAAATTAAACTTTAAGAAATGTTAAAAACTCATTTACAAATGAAATTTTATCGAATTAAACATCAGGTAGGGCATACCCATAAAAGAGACGAAAGGAACAAAGACGAGAATAGAAAATCCTTATAAAACTTCAAGGATTTCTTGATATTTTTATATTCCGTTGTTATCCTGGTCGATGCATTGTCCAGCCATAAAGTTGCTGAATTTCCACGTTTAATTAGTCACTGATAGGATTAAAAGAGATCTACGACGAGACACTATCGTACCTCGTACCGATGTAATACATATATGTATAAGAAAAGCACACATGATGTTCATATACATTTATATCGTTTCATGCACAAATTTTCTTCTTTGTCAATTGGATCTTACTACACCGTGATATCACCACAGAAAACCGATAGTAACAGATTTGGATTTTGTGAATTTTGAATGACAAACACTAATGTAAGGATATAAAATTGAACAGGATAAAAAGAGAAAGAGTATATGTGCAAAGAAAAAGAAAAAAAGATGGGAGTTAACGAAAGGATCGAGGAGATACGTTGTCACGACTTGGCATTTAATTCCGAAAACCGTGTCTCTCTTTCATAAGCCGATAGATACAAAAGTAACAAAGAGAGCGTACAAACAGAGGCGCTAGTTTCGCCGTATGTCTTACACCGTTCTGTTCACGATTCTCCTCAGTTCTTTCTCTTTTGCTCGAGTTCACATCACGAGAATTGGCTGCCTCTTTCTTTCTTTCATACGAGAACTTCTGCAACCCCGCCTCGTTTCGTGACGAACGACCGGCGCCGCCTGACGACCGTAGCTCGCGTCGCGACGCTCTCGTGGCGCCGTCATGCGGTTACCCTCCCTGATGTTACCACTTCTAGACATAAGAAGAATTTCGTTCAGTTGAGGTAGAATAATTACGATTGTATTTTCATTCACTTCATTATTTGAAATTGCATATTCCATTTATTAAAATCATTATTATATTCCTTGCAATTTTATAATCATATTATTATTTATATTTAGCAATATATATTATGATTTTTATTTTTAAATATGTAAAAATTATTTTTTGTGATTTTATTATGTAATTGTATTTTTTGTGATTTTCTTTTAATAATAATATTTTAATTTGTCATTTAGTATTATTTTATGATTATTTAATTATATATATCTAGAGAGATTTATTTAATAATTATTTACAATATGAAATGTATATAAAATATGTATATATATGAATATAAGGCTGGAAAATGCATAGAATATACATATATGTCATTGATTAAATATGTATATGATATGTCATAATTATATGTATATCTTGTTCTTACATTGTTAAATGTTGTATAGTTGTTACTTGATTCAAATCTATACAACCAAATATAGTCATCAATATAAAAAGTATAACTGTTATGTTTTTAAATTGTCATAATATAATTATCTATAAATTAAATATTACAATAATATTAAATATTTTAATTTTAATTTTGATATGGATTACAATATGTTTTATAAAAAATATATATAAAATAAGAAAATCTATTAATTATAATTTAAATTATAACTTATATGACAATAATATAAATGAATTTATAATCGCATATCTATGTGATATATTATATAAATGAAGGTGAAGAACTTATAAGCAGTAAGTATAGCCCTCAATAATAAATATATATGTATAAGTTTTAAATCTAATATGACCTTAAAGTCCTTTAAAGACACGTGATGTTTTATAGAACACTCATACTTTATTTAAAGTAAAAATCGACCAAATGGCTAGATTCTAAGTTTTTTATGAGTTATATTGCATATATATATATATGTATAGGGTTATGATCATGTAATAAATAATGAGAAACACGATAGCATATTGTTATGTATAACAACAATTATATCATAATAGTATTTTCAATCTTAAATTTCTTAAATAGATATTAACTTAGCTTGATGAGAAATTATCGATTCCCTATCAAAAGTAATTGATTATCTCTCGTCATTAATACGAAATATTAAATTTATGATTTATTTACATATGTATCTATAATTAAGTAAAAACATTAGATCATATACTTACCATAGAAATTTAAATATAAGTTGTTAACTGATTGTTATAAAAAAACAATTATTAATACAATTTTTAATGTTTTCATTAGTTTTTTTATAATCAGCACTATAATATGTAATAAAATTTTTCGTAATTTATCTGTTTGAGGTTGTGTTCTTCTTTTAGCCTTGTACAACCAGTTTAGTTGCCAAGTTACAATAATACCAAAATAAACTCAGAAGTGCGAAACTTCGAGTGACATAAATTCTTGACTGTGATAAGCATGTTAAGTACTATGCATGAAAAGGAATCGATTATAAAACAAAATATATACATATTTGTTTTTTAATTATATCTATTAAAAAAAATAAATAGTGTAAAAAGTTTTCAATAAATATTATTTGTAATTTGTATTGTGTGATTTATATAACAATAAATATTGAATCATTGGATGTCCGCAAATGTGAATATGATGTGAATATGAGATAACAATACATTTTTAATGATTGCGTACAAACATATATGAATTATTATTCAAATACTATTCGGCACATAGAAAGTGGAATAGAGATATTTTCATTAATATTTAAAAGTTGGAAATTAAATTAAAATTAAATATAATAAATATAATAATTAAATATAATAGAAATATAATAATGATGTAATAATATTGATTTAAAAAATTGAATGAAAATAATATAAATTATTTTTCACACAAAGATAATTTTATACATAGGTATAATTAATATATTTAAATGATAAAAAAAAAATGATATTTATATAATTTAATCTGATTTAATTTTTATAATTTAACTTTGTTAACTTTTTATAATTCTATTACAACTTTTAAACTTATTTTCTTTTCATTTTATATATTTCGGTTAACAATATTTAAATATTCAAAAATATATAATTATATATTTATTTATATATTTATATATTCATTTATTAGTTTACTTTTTAATTTTTTTTAATTCCAAATATTTATATATTATTTATATTAAAAAATAATGTATATTGATAATTAAGGTTATACAATTTTTTTTAAAATTATTTTTTTTTCAATTTAAGATTCTATTTTTTATGATAGTTAAACTTTATACAGTCTTAAAATAATTTTAAACATTAGATATCAATTAAATTTTAATATATATTTAACATATATTTTGTCTGTTAATTTAAATAATTAAAAAAATGTGCAAAAATATTACAAAATTTTCTCATAATTATAATGTAATAAAATAATAATACTTTTAAAAACTAAATAATGCTATTCATATAATCTTATAAATAATGATCAATATATAATATATTTTGTAACTTACTGTTAAAATTTAATAATATTCTTAGTAATCAGTTTAGATCTTCCTTAAGTTTGAAAAATTATGCACGTCATCGTAAATATGACGATATAACACATAGATGTATTAAAATAGTAGTATTAAATACAAAATGCACCACGATGAAAAACCACAAGTTAATATTTTGTTGCGGATTGAATAGATATCGGTTATTCATGGACTTGCGTGCTGCGATATATTCAAGATATAAAAAAGACAATACTACAAATCAGGAAAGAGATGTATACCTAATCCAATTTCAATTTTTTCAAATATTAATTTCAAATATATGTATGAATAATTAATATATTTATTTATATAATATTAAATATTTATAAATTCAATAGAATATTAATATATATGCAATAATAAATTTTTTTAGATATTACAAATTATTTATTTATAAACTTATTAGAAAATATTACATGTAATATAATATAAGTATTATATACTTATAACTTATATAATATAAGTATTATACATAAATAAATAATGATTACGCAATAAGAAATAGTTTAATTTATTTTAATATTGCTTGATTATATTTTTAAGAAATTTAGCACTGCGCGAATATTTAATATATGTAAAAATAAAGATACAGTAAATTCATGATACTAAATTTATAATTGACTCATCGAACTATCGGATAAAAATAGTTTCATTCATTCATTGTAGTATTATGTCATAAACTTTCGTTTGTAAGCCAAAGAAGATACCAGTAAAAACACTAAGTTTATTTTAAATTACTTCCGTTACAAATTGGCACAATGTCTTATATATTTATATGTAAATTTATATACATAAATATCATGCATAAACATCAAGGATTTAATTTTTTCTAAATTTCATGATTTATAACACATTTATAGAATATTACTATTAACCGTGTTTAAAATGTTCATAAGATGACATTGTGTATCCTTTAATAATTAAATAATAATATTTATTAACGTCAATTTATATTAAAAAATATTATATATTATTACTAAAATAAAAATAATAAATGATTTTTTGTTTCTGTAATTATTAAATAATATTTTATCAATTATTTTTTATTTAAATTATTGAGATAGATAAAATATTTATATATATTTATATATATTGAGATTGAAATATATGATTATAATATATATGCTTATTTGTTTTAAATTTCTTTTTATAATCTGAAATAAATAAATTTAAAAAAAAAACTTAAAAATATTTTTTATACGT